TTTAATGTTTCAGTTCTATGTTTTCAAGATTTAAATTGTTTTTCCCATTTATATAAATCACTAAAATGTTTTAATTCTTTAGCTTCTTTCCTTGTAATGTGCATAATTTCCATTTTGGATGTTTTTTAAGTAAGTTAAGAATTTCTTCTTTTTGTTTTGTTGAGATTATATTCTTATCAGCTTTTTCATCATCATTTGAATATTCTGATTCACAGTCAGTGCCTGCATTATCAACTTTTTTTTCTTGAAGTTAACAAGTTTTTATAATTTATTTTGTATACTAGTACATTCTATATATTAACAGGACTTATTATACTGGAATTATGGATGCAGATATTTAGTCTTATAGTTTAAAAATAATGTTCTTTATTAAGTTCACCTGCATATTATTTTTAAACTGTAAGACTAAATATCTGCATCCATAATTCCAGTATAATAAGTCCTGTTAATATATAGAATGTACTAGTATACAAAATAAATTATAAATAGTGTTAAAAAAAGGACAAAAAAGGCATAATAATTAACAAGTGTTTGTTTTTTCTTTTTTCCATCTGAAATATCTTTAATCAAATTATTATCTTCCATCTGACAAAACTCTTTATCATCTCTACTTACATAATTACTTAAAATATCACTAAATGCATTAAAAAGCACTTCAGCTACCTGTTTATCAATGTCCAAAATAATAGGCCTACAAATCTATTTATAGACCAGACATTATCACATAAACGTTTAAATTCTGCTATAATATTTTGAATATTTACGTTTAAATCTTCTTCCATTTTTGAAAATTCTAGAATTTATTCTAAATGTAATATTGTTGTCTTCCTCCATGACTCTTTCACTACTAAAAATTTGCATATTTGTGTTAAACTAATATAAAATAGTATGACATTTGATTATGTAGTGTCTTGGATATACCAGCATATACTGAGTACTAAAGGGTAATGTAATGAGGACTTCACAAATTTAGATAAACATGACAAGTCAGGTTTATTAAAAACACAAAGCCATAGACTACAGCTGGTATCTTTGACTTATATACATGTACTATTGCAACCAATTAGTATGGTTACTTAACAAAGAGAACAATGTCGATCTGAGTATTAAGGTAAATTCCCATTTTAAATAATTACATTTATATACAGGATGACAAACGCATGTTGTTGCATTTCTTCTTGGTTAATTCTTTTGTACACAATTATCCCATTCAACACACAGCAGTCTGTTATCAAAACATGATCACCTACATGTCTACTAAAATCTATAACTAATAAATAATAGTCTTACTAAAGTCCTTTAGCGACTCTTGATCATGATCCACACATCCTATACTCGTATATGATGATTTCTTGAAGATGGATTTGGATTCCTTCTTCTTGATTGAGCTGTTCCTTCTTCAGCTGTTCTCTCCAAGGTCCACCACATTATACCTTTTCCTTTCCTTTCCTTGTCCAGACAGGAGCTCTGAAGCCAGGAAAAAAGTCCTCAAACACATAAAGCAATTGAATTTATATCCCCTGCCATCTGGGAATGCCGTTTTAGCACATGACCTCCCCCTTTTGACCAATCAAGAGATTCATATCTGTCTAACAAAGAAAAGGTGATACCTGGAAACAGGACGGAAGACAATGCGAAATATATAAAAAGTAGAGCCTGATACAAAATTAATGGAAACCTGCTTATATACTAGAATAACATGGAAACATACAAAAGAACAATATATAACATAGTAGTGTAGCACTACAATTGCTATTAACCCTGATTAATAGTTTTAGTGAATATTACAAATTTAATATAGAGTTTGTATACTTTTAAAAATTTTGGAATGCCTTTTATAAATTTTATTAATATTTATTAAAAGACATTCCAACAGTTCCCTTGTTAGTCATGCAGAAGCATTTCTTGAATTCTTGATCTTCAGAAATTGATTTTATATTACTAATTTCTTAAATGGACCTTTCTTCATTTGAAGCTTCCTTGAGGAAATTCATTTTTGAGCACACACCAAGAACTGGTTTCTTGTATAAGTTTGAGGAAGTGCCCCATATTTATTTGCATGTGTATAAAACTGATAATTTTTTATAGAAATTACCATAAAAAGAATGTTTCTAGGATCTACTTGTAATCTGTTGCTTTCAGAAATTTAATTTTTACCATACTACCAATTTCTACAGAAGGGAATGGCCTAATTAGCTGAACTTCATCTTTTTGGCTTGGATCATAAAATTTTCTTTAGCAAGCCAACAGTTCTTAGAGACTTTTTTTTAATACAAAAGTTGCAGAGAAAAAGTTTCAAAAGTTTCAACATCAAATGTAACACAAGAAGTTTCTTGTGTTACATTTGATGTTGAAGCTTTTCTTCATGATTTCATAATCACAAGAAAAGCATGTGACTTTATTTTCTGTCTCTGTTGCTCTATATTCTTCAGAACTTAATTCAACTTGCTGTCTTGATACTATCATCTACACCAGGGGTTACCAAACTATGGCCCGTGGGCCAGATCCAGCCCCTGAGGTCAGTCTATCTGGCTTGTTGCCACACTGTACCACAAATGAGCTAAAATATAATTATTTATATGGAAATGTAATATATTGTAGATGAACTTATTATGTAATAAAAATTAAAATAAGTGTAAGTAAAAATGCCAAAATTAGTCCAATCTGAGAAGCACTATGAACCAAGAATGTCATGTTCTTGATTCACACGGTTTTATAAGTTTTGCCCCTGAAGCTGCCTTTTTATTGGAAACCGATCAGAGGGTGCGGGAGAGGTCAGTTTCACAACTAAATAAGACTCCTCTCCAGCTACGTTTTCCTTGACTTTAGTCTTTTCAATTGTTTTAATAAAAAAATTTTATTGTTCAATCAGGACGTTAAATCTCCATATTAGTGTCTGAAAATGGAGCTCTTTATTTCTTGATAGAGTGGTCACCTTCAGACCCTCAAAGCGGCTTCCATCTGGTACCTCACATATCACAGGGTGTTTCTTGTGAAAAACATCTTACTAAATCCTGCCTGCGTGGCAGTGTACTATCTCCATTTCTATGGAATCTTATTATAAACTCTCTTTTGTGCAATAATAGTATAAGTGTTTTCATAGAAGCATTTGCAAATGATATTGTGTTAGCCTATCAGCATGAAGATCTTCAAATAGTGCAGGAGAAGCTAAGTGGAAGCCTTAAAGACTGGGCACAAGGAAACAAACTTTTATTTAGCACAAACAAACTGTAGGAACGATCTTTACCTCTAAGTATAAGTATTCGTTCCCATCTCTCAAACCCAATAATGTGATTATTAACTGGGTCAGCACACACAAGTACTTGGGTGTCTATCTTGACACTAAGTTAACTTATAAAAACCATCTAGAGCACATTTTGGCTCGGGTCAAACAATTTAGTAATCAACTCATGAGATGTACACAGTGTACCTGGGGCTTAACTTCTGCAGTTGTCTCAACTTTGATCAACGAAGCTATACAACCGCTGGTGTTTTATGCAGCTTCTTGTTGGGTTCATGTTTCCTACAAGACCTCCTACGCTTCTAAACTTCTTAGTGTGCAATGTCTTTTTCTGTTGAAAAAAGTTCATTGCTATAGAACTGTATCTACAGATGCTTTGACAGTTCTGGCAGGTGTTCGTCCATTGCCCCTGGCTCTGCAGGCTAAGGTGCTCCAGTATTATGTGAGGATGAGGTTGCATCATCACTTTCCACGAGTGTCTCCTTTGGAGGACTGGTATCAACTTATCCCATATGAGTGGGGTGTTCACAATGGCTCTTTGCATCCAGCTGACTTCAACCTGCCTGATGTCTCTTGACCCTATTACTGGGCCTGCTATTCTGACTGACATTTACATCACAGATGGTTCTAAGTCTGAGCTTGGTGTTGGCTCAAGTGTATGTGTAAGTGTATATACCCAACTACATGAGAACCCTCTGCAAATTTTTAGGCAGCGTTACAATCAGGCTACCAGTATATATCAGTTTAAGACGAATTAGCTGCAATCCATCAGGAAGTTTGACACTCCCTGACCGATTCAAAGTTATTTCAATTTTTAATGACTCTAAAGCTGCTTTGACTTCTCTTATGAATTTTGATTTTTGAAGTAGTCGGATCAGAAATATTCAAGAAACTGTAAGTTTAAGTTTGAAATGCTGTAAATTCTTCTATGACCCAGAACATGTAGGGGTGATCGGTAATGAGATTGCAGATGCTGTGGCAAAAGATGCTTCTAAAGATGAAAGCCTACCTCTGACTTTACAGCCTTATTCTAGAAACGTCCTGATGAGGATAATTTATGACTATCTTATCTCTGCATAGAACCAGTCATGGACTTCTTCGTCTAAAGGAAATGTCACCAAGATATTCTACCCATTAGTTTATGATTTTCTTAAGAATCCAATTAAGAATTTTTCCTATTCCTTTTCTCAGATACTAACTGGACATGGTAATTTTAATTGATATCTAGCATCATGTAATTTGGCCAGCAGTACTTTCTGCTCATGCACAATGGGTAAAGTTGAAACTGTAAAACATAATTTACAAATGTCATATATATGAAGTTGAACACTTCAGGCTAATGCTGAAAGTTCTGTCCTTGGGATATAGTTGGCCCTGTCCAGCCCATATTCTTGTGTCCAATGAACTGTGTGCTTACTTTGCTATTACATCTTGTCATTTTATGTATGTAATTATTGATTTAGTGTAATACTCACTTCAGAGTGGTGCACTCAAAAAAGGAAAAAAAAAGAGTAGAGGAAACACACTCTAGCTCCTTAGCAGACTTTCCAGTTCCCATACAAGCTCTTCTCACACTAAAAGCAGTTTTCTTCAAATCATCAGAATATTAAAGTCAAATGTAATAGTAGTAGGTGGCAATAGTAGTAATAGATGATAATGATAATGTAAAATCTCAAAAAGCATTTAATCTAATTAAAACTATTGAAGAAGTCAAATATTTAAGTTTTTCTTTCTAACTTATTTTATCTTTAAATCATTTTGAAGAAAGGTTTATTTACCATAAATAACAATAAACATTTTAAATTGTTAAATTTATAATAATTAACATTAAATATAATAATAAATTTTTATTTCTAAATTTCAGAAAAACTCATCTCAGAAAATAAAAGGAGATTAAAGCATTCTTATAGGACTAAACATGCACGCATGAGATCTTTGTTATGGGAAGGACCTGGATATGACTGTTCTGTAAAAGATTATTTTATAGAGTTAATAGTAGAAAAGGGAAAACTTAGAAGTAGTCCTGAAGAAAACAGAGTAATTAAACTCGGTGATATATTTGTGCAATTACCAGAAGAAGAAGCATTACAAAAATTCCTTATAATTGGTGATCCAGGTTATGGAAAAACAACACTTTGCAAGAAATTAGCTTATGATTGGGCAACTTCTGTCAACTATTTGAAACATTTTGCTTTTGTAATTATTGTTACATTACGTGATATAAAAGAAAAAAGTATTAATGATATTATTATTGAAACCATTTTTCAGACTTTAGAAAAAATAACTATTGAAGAAATAAAAGAGCTGGATCAGAACTTCCTAATTATTCTGGATGGATATGATGAAGTAGCAAATAATCATTCAAATATTGTTTCAGATTTTATTGAATATGAATATCAAAATATTTCTTCAAAAATGACCATTGTAGTAACTAGCCGACCACGTTTTGTGCCTGAAAACATAAAAGAAGAAATGGAAGAACATTTTTCCATAAATGGATTTGACAAAAACGCCCAATTAAAATATATAGAATCTGTATTCCAAGATAAAGAAATAATTCAATATCTTATTAAGCAGTTAAATCAAAATGAATTTCTTTTTAATATAGCCAAATGTCCATTGATGTTACATATGATATGTTGCTTTGAAAGAGCAAACTATATATCGGAACTAAAACGGTTAACAGATTTATATATAAAAATGTTACAGTTAATTATGAAAAGATCTGCAAAAAAATATGATCTCAGTAAATTGAAACATGGTAGATATTTTCATGGTGAAGCTCTTTTAATTAAATTAGGAGAATTAGCATGGAACTATTTGCAGAATAATGCTGAAATTACTTCTGAATGTTTAAAGACATATTTTCCTGATGATAATGAATATCAAGTGGTTGTTAACCTAGATATTTTGATACTTTCATCATTTATAATTGAAGGAAAAGAAATTTACAAATATGATCCATTGCATAGGTCATTTTTTGAGTTTCTTTCTTCATTATATTTATCTACATTGAAGAAATTACCATCAAAAATTAAAAAGATTCCAAATATTAATTATATATTTTTGTCTGGTCTTTGTGATAATGAACCACTTCCAGCCTTTTGTAAAACAATTCGTTTTTGTGATAAATATGAATATAATATTCCATTTTTACAAATGATCTATAATGAAATGAAAAAGAATGAAGAAAATTTTAGTAAATTTTGTTCTCCAATTAATGTCTTGAAGGTTAATGTAATAACTGACAATGTAGATATACTTGAGAAAGTTATGAATTGTGAGAAGTTAAAAACACTGACTTTAATTTTACCTGAAAGTTGGAATGGACTCGAGCCAATCAGAGATAAATTGATAAAGATTAACTTTAATTACTGTAATCTTCATTGTTTTCTGTATGCAGGATACAGAAATGCTAAAAAATTTGCCTTATGTTTTGATATACGTGATTCCATATCAACAATTTTATATATAATAGGGAATATAGAATGTAAACATTTAAAAGTTTACCTTTCAGGATCATATAATATTGATACTAAAACGTTCCAAGAATATAAAAGCATCATATATCTATCACCAGTTCCATCTGAACTGCAGAATGCATTTAATTTCAATAAAACTGAAGCAATAATAATTGAAGGAAAAAATGGATCATCATTTCTCATTTCTTGTGAACAGTATGATGTTTTGCAGAAAGAAGGATTATTTTTACCTATTTTTGGTGAAAAAAGAATAGATATTTTAAGGAGCAGTAATATGTAATTAACAGTAGTATAGCAACAAAATTTGATACTTATGACCATTTTGTGAGGAAAATAAAAAGCTCATTACATACAAATATGCAATACAAGTATATATACTGTATATTGGCATCTGTTGAAGGAACCATATTGGCCATATCCTTGTTATACCACTGTTAATTAAGAAGCTATATTGATTTGTTCATTGTGAAACAGAAATTATTACAAAGTCTGTTGTAAATTGTTATTAATGTTATGATTCAAAAATTGTTTTGAATCTTTTTGAGATTTTAGTTGTTTAAACTTTATGAAAGTTTATCATTAGTAGTGCACAATTCTGATATGAATACATTAATCCGGTGTTTCCCAACCCTTTTTGTGCTATGCCCACCTAAGCCTTTATAAAATTCTTATGCCCCCCTAACATATACAGTGGCTATATAGTTAACTTACACTCTGGACGAGTCCATTTTCAAATTGCCCCCCTTGTGGGGCAGGGCCCCACATTGGGAAACACTGCATTAATTGGATAACTGGATAGTTTGAATATTCAAAATATTCTGATTTCCATCCACATTAGAGAAAGTTCAGGAGGTACTGTACATAAATGTAGTATACAAGTGAATAATATGTATGTATATTGACTTACAGGAAGATGGATAATTTTTGTTATCCACATTGGAAAAAGAAGTGCTTGTTGTATGTTTGTATATATTCACATATATAAGTAAAACTTATTCTATTTTTATGCTTATATATAGAATTTAATATTTTAAAGTGTATTTTTTAAAAGGAAATACATTTTTAAGTAAAGTGTAGAATTAATATTTTAAAAATATGTCAGCTGAAAAATTGCACACTTCAATCATGCAACTTGTTGAAAAACAATTATTTTTATGTATTTGATACATATTTATATTATATTAATAATTAAATGACTTGATCTAATGTCATTTTATATATAATTTTATTATTATTATTACTATTATTTTATATATGTAATAGTTTATATTTGTTATAAAAAATTGCACAAAAGATTTTGTATCTTTAAAAATATATAGCTGAATTCAATGGAAACTATTTTCTTGAAATTACTGGCTTTGTTTAAAGTCTCAACTTGTTAATGTTTTAGAAAAGTCTAGCACTTTGTGCTTTGTCCATCATCAGGAGTCAACAAGAGAAATTATGAACAAGAGATCTTTTTGTTCTCAAATAATTTGAAGAGCATTTTTAACAAATTTGTCATGCTTTAAAAATGTTGAAAATAAATTATTTTTGTTTTATTTGATGTTTTAATTCATTTATTACACAAAATATTTGTCATCAGGGTGGATTGGAGAAATGGGTTCTAGTTCATTAAAATCATGAACTGTACTGTACATATTACAAGAATGATGTTTCTCAATGACCTCAAATTAGATAATCCAATTTCTAACTGTTAATGGGTTAGATTAGAAAACTAATCGTTAATCTAATCTAATTTAGACCTGCCCAGCTTTCTCCAAGAAATGAGATTGCCATTTTGTTTATTCTGTCATTTCAAGAAATTTGATTAAGATTGGATATCATTCATGTTTTCAATGTTAATGCAATAGAGAGACAATATTCATCTCCACAACTATAAAAGAAAAGAATAATGTGAGATCTAAATAATTTTTAGGGTTATATTCTGGTCAGAAGTTTTGAGTTTAATATACTTTTTCAAAATCCAGATTAGTGTTTATTTTGAATCAAATTGGATACAAAATTAAGCATTTGAAAGAAAATGGTCAATTATTAACTGTGGAATTTTTGGTTTAAAAATTTAAAATTGAATTAAAATAACAAAAGGATATACTAAGAATTTTTTTCTCTCAAGAAAACCTTTAATCATTTTTAAAAAGTAACATTGATTAACTGTTTACAACTTATCAAGAATAATTATAAATTAACTCTGACAAGATGCAAATATGTTGTTTTTGTCAAAGCTGGTTCAGTGCAGACTAAAAGCACAGTGTAAGGAAGAAGTGAGGAAGCTCTCAAAGCCATCCAAGGTTATTCAGAAATTATCTACCAGAGAGCACAATAATTGCATTTGGCTATTTTATGGCATAATTCTAAAACCCGCTCGTTTTCCTGTGTGCGGAACTTAACAGTTTGCCCTGGTATCCATAGATGGCAGGGGGTTTAATTGTAGTAAAACTATATACCAGTCGACCCCCCCCTATAATACTGTTGATAATTCTGTTTTATATGAATTCCATGTTGTACGAGTCACTTAGATTTTACAAATACGTGGGCCGTTCACAGCCCGGCACACGTATTTGTAAAATCTAAGTGACTCGTACAACATGGAATTCATATAAAACAGAATAATCAACAGTATTATAGGGGGGTCAACTGTATATATATATATGAGCATAACAATTCTTTGAGATACACGTGTAACTAAGCAAGTATTTTTGTTTATATTTTACTTTTCAAAAACATGATGGTTGTTCTGCACCAAACTGTTCTAATAACAGCAGACATAAAATATATATATATTTTTTCACTTTCCAAGTGATGAAAATAGGCGAAACATACAGAAAAATTTGAGAAGAGCAGATTGAACACCAACTAGAAACAACGGTACTTGTGAATCTTTATCCCAGATGGTGGCGCCGCCTAGGCGACAACATCTCAACTAGTACTTGTATCCCCTGGAAACAAATTGACTCAGCCAGTTGACCTACCAACAGACACGTGTTTTCCAAACCTTTGTGAGAAAGAAAAAATTTCTACGTTATATGATTTATCACGCACCGAAGAAGAATCTATATTGTCTTTTCAAAAGAAAGGTATTTTACCTAGTGCTCGAATATGCAAAAATAAGCATGAAATGAAATTAAATATGTCTAAAGGCGTTTGGAGATGCACCATAAGTAGCTGTGATGTAATGATAAGCATTTGTTCCAATAATTGGTTTAGCGGATCACGGATACCATTTTTAACGGCGGTACGATTTATTTACCATTGGACGGAGGAAGTTACATCTATAAAGTGGTGTCGAAAACATCTAAATATTTGCCACAAAACAACTATAGACTGGAATAGTTTTTGAGGAAGATATGTTTTTTACATTTGTTGAAACAACCGAACAGGCTAATAGGCGGTCCCGGAAAAATCGTGGAAATCGACGAAGCGCTTTTCACAAGGCGAAAAAGCAACGCTGGAAGGGTTCTTCCACAACAGTGAATATTCGGCGGAATATGCCGAGAAATTGGTGATTGTTTTCTCGTTCCAGTTCCTAATAGAGAATCAACCACACTAATGACAAAAATCGTGAAGCACATTGAACAAGAATCAACAATTTATTCTATCTGTTGGCGAGCTTACAGGACAGATGAATTAGAAAGAGCGGGTTACAGTCATTTTACTGTAAATCATAAATATAATTTCGTTGATCCAACAACGGGTGCGCACACTCAAAACATCGAAAGACTATGGGGTTCCGCTAAGTGGCGCAACAAAAAACAACGAGGCACGGGTTGCCATCATCTGGAGTCTTACCTTGCAGAGTTTATGTGGAAGAAGTCATTGGGACAAGGAAATGCTTTTGAAAACATATTAAAAGCAATCGCGGAAATATGGCAGCCCTAAACTATATGCCAGTAATATCTAATAATGTAAATGGCTATGTAGACATGTAATATACTTTAAAATAAACGATAATTTAAACTAATTTAAATGTTTGTTAACTTTTTCTTAAAATTATTGCAAAGTTTTAATTAACAACGTTGAAATAGCAAAACTAAGTTGTAACACGTGTGTTGGTAGGTTAGCTGGCCGAGTTAATTTGTTTCGAGGGGATTCAGGTACTAGTTGAGATGTTGGTCGCCAGGGCAGCGCCATCATCTGGGATAAAGATTCACAAGTACCGAAACAACTTTCTATGTAATACAGTATAATTATTTTATAATAAACTAGCTTTTACCCGCGACTTCGCCCGCAGAGATTTTGCAAGCAAACTCCATTTATATCCAGTATTTCAACAACCATAGTAATTGTTATATAACACCTGCCGATGAGAATTACTGAGAATAAAACGAACTGTTTTCAATTTGATCAATTTTCTGGAACGTTTACAATCGTTCTATAATCGAACCAATATGCAATAACAAATTCGAATTTAAAACGGTTCGAACATTTGGTTAAAAAATCGAAATATATGAAAATATTTACAACAATGTCTGAAATGTTATCAATTTAATACACCAAGTACTCAATGAAGACTAAACATAGTTGAAAACAAAAAATCGCATCTAAAATAGTACAGTAGAAGCCGTTCTTCAGGTTAAGCCTTAATCCTTTTGTTGGAATCAACGATAAAAATTATTGTCTAATGTTATACGACATCGTTACGTACTGTACAACGCATTGTGTCGCGATGTTTTGTAAACGTTCTTCCGTTACGTAATAAAAGGTTGGTGGCGCTGTTAGAGACGGTGGCCTTGTTTCACTCTTCCCTTTTCAGCGCTGACCTTCGGTAAGTCAAGACAGTGTAATCTTTGCGTATTTTTTGTTTCTTTGTTATATAACCAGTTACGCGAGTCTCAGTGGCGTAGCGTGAGTGTCAGCCGCCCGGGGCAAAGGAAAATTTCGCCGTCCCCCTTATTTAGGTATCTCAACTTAAAAGACTAAAATTCAGTTTCGTCACAGAATAAGTAATGAAAAATTCCGTGCTAGTGTTGCCACTTTTTTAAAATCGCTGACCCGGACGGCAGGTGAGGTTTGTTCGAACAGAAGTTCCTGACGCATGCGTATGTCATTTTGCAATACGAAGAATAATGTGCAGTGTATGCCAGTTTTAAATCAGTTACAATTAGCGACTAGGGAGACTTGGGTGGGAGTAACGTAACCTAGATGACCTAGCTCTATTGGATATTGGAGGTGTATGTGAGTACGAATGCATCGTACAAACAAACAAAAAAAAAAAGGTCGACAGATTGCGCACCATCTCCCCGGGTAAAATTAATTGTTCATCCGGACGGTGAGTCGATTCCCGGACTGTCCGGATGGTAACGCTATACCGTGCTCATTTCAATCGGTCCGAATCGTAGGTGCGACGGAAATATGAAATATAATGATTCAAATTTTTACAAGATATTATTATTTATTGTGAAATTTTGCCGCCCCCTAAAAAGTCTCGCCACCACTACGCTACGCCACTGGCGAGTCTAACTAGTTTTTACTAATCTCTCCGACAAGCAACATCTAGACTAACACCTTTCCCTCTCCCTCCACGGAGGAATTTCCAAAAATCCCTTCTTAGTGTGTATTCTCATGGCGTACCCTAATAAAACATAGTTGAAAACAAAAAATCGCATCTAAAATAGTACAGTAGAAGCCGTTCTTCAGGTTAAGCCTTAATCCTTTTCCTCTCCCCCGCGGGGGGAATTTCCAAAAATCCCTTCTTAGTGTGCGTTTTCATGACGTACCCTAACTGTGTACAAAATTTCATCTCTAGATTCAGAGGTTTGCTCTGGACGATGATGAATCAGTCAGTCAGTCAGGACAAGTAATTTTATATATTTAGATTTCATGATTTCATATTGATATTAATATAGGTTTATATATTGATGATATTTCCATAATTAATTTATCAATCATATCTGAACACTTTAAGACATAATGCAAATTCATGATATTAATATTTGTGAAATTCATTTAATTTAAGCTAAAGTAATAAGTTCAGTGTTGACATTTAAATAAATTTTTTAAACAATTACATAATTGATTTCATTGCTAAAATTAATAAAATTCTTAAAATATATAATTTCTCTTTAGACTTTCCATTTGTAAATGTAACACATAAATGTGTTTATCGTGTGCTCAAAGACGGAATATTGACAGTTTGGAAAAATCTTAATTGTGAATCAAGTTATTAATTAAAGCCTAATAAAATTGCAACATTTTTCTATAATTGGTTTCTTATAATTCAAAAGTTCTTTTACAAATTTGCATTTTAATTTAATAGCTAATATAGGTTAAAGTAAGTTAATAATGGTTATAAAATGGACTCAATAAGAAGTATTTTAAAGAAATTTTATGAACAGCATCAGGCCGATGGAAAACAAAAGAAAAAATCCAAATGCTATTCCTAATATCCTATGTTTTTTCATATGCCTGATCTTCTAGAGTTCTAGAATGTAGAAGGAAAAACGTTTATGAAAGAATAACACTTCAACACGTAAATAATTTCGTAATAAATTCGTAAATATGTTTTATTATAATTTTTTATTTTTAATGTACAGTATATGTGTCTGTGATTTCATATTTGTGAGTTTCATAGTCATAGCAACAATAGAAATGATTTGTCTGCAAAGGCTTAACTAGAGCCATAATTAATAGTACTTGTTATTGAAAAAACATTTTGAATAACAAATGTACAAATGTTAGTAATTATAGATAATGAAAACTTAATTGAAAAAATGTTTGAACAAATTAATAATGATTACTTATATAAAATTAGATGATAACCCATATGAGAGTATAAAAAAACAATTAACTAAATTGATCAAAAAAAGTTATATAAATAATAATATAAATAATATAGAAAAAAATAATATTCTTGACTTCAAAAACAATAGAATCCCTACTCTAAATATTAGATTAAAAACTCATAAAGAAGAAGAAAAATTTAGACCCATCGTCGATTTCAAATACTCCATTCTTTATAATTTAGAACATTACATAAAACAACAATAAAATGTTTAGAAAATTCTATATATAGTATTAAAAATGCTGATACTGTCATTAATAGGATACAAAAATTAAAAAAAGATAATTCTGATAAATTAATGAGTTTAGACATAAAAAATATGTATCCCAGTATAAATTGGAAATTAATAGAAAAAAGTTTAAGTGAACTTAATGTACATANAAACTATATATCGGAACTAAAACGGTTAACAGATTTATATATAAAAATGTTACAGTTAATTATGAAAAGATCTGCAAAAAAATATGATCTTAGTAAATTGAAACATGGTAGATATTTTCATGGTGAAGCTCTTTTAATTAAATTAGGAGAATTAGCATGGAACTATTTGCAGAATAATGCTAAAATTACTTCTGAATGTTTAAAGACATATTTTCCTGATGATAATGAATATCAAGTGGTTGTTAACCTAGATATTTTGATACCTTCAGCATTTATAATTGAAGGAAAAGAAATTTACAAATATGATCCATTGCATAGGTCATTTTTTGAGTTTCTTTCTTCATTGTATTTATCTACATTGAAGAAATTACCATCAAAAATTAAAAAGATTCCAAATATTAATTATATATTTTTGTCTGGTCTTTGTGATAATGAACCACTTCCAGCCTTTTGTAAAACAATTCGTTTTTGTGATAAATATGAATATAATATTCCATTTTTACAAATGATCTATAATGAAATGAAAAAGAATGAAGAAAATTTTAGTAAATTTTGTTCTCCAATTAATGTCTTGAAGGTTAATGTAATAACTGACAATGTAGATATACTTGAGAAAGTTATGAATTGTGAGAAGTTAAAAACACTGACTTTAATTTTACCTGAAAGTTGGAATGGACTCGAGCCAATCAGAGATAAATTGATAAAGATTAACTTTAATTACTGTAATCTTCATTGTTTTCTGTATGCAGGATACAGAAATGCTAAAAAATTTGCCTTATGTTNATGGACTCGAGCCAATCAGAGATAAATTGATAAAGATTAACTTTAATTACTGTAATCTTCATTGTTTTCTGTATGCAGGATACAGAAATGCTAAAAAATTTGCCTTATGTTTTGATATACGTGATTCCATATCAACAATTTTATACATAATAGGGAACATACAATGTAAACATTTAAAAGTTTACCTTTCAGGATTATATAATATAGATACTAAAACTTTCCAAAAATATAAAAGCATCAAAAAACAATCGCCAGTTTCATCTGAACTGCAGAATGCATTCGATTTCAATAAAACTGAAGCAATAATAATTGAAGGAAAAAATGGATCATCATTTCTCATTTCTTGTGAACAGTATGATGTTTTGCAGAAAGAAGGATTATTTTTACCTATTTTTGGTGAAAAAAGAATAGATATTTTAAGGAGCAGTAATATGTAATTAACAGTAGTATAGCAACAAAATTTGATACTTATGACCATTTTGTGAGGAAAATAAAAAGCTCATTACATACAAATATGCAATACAAGTATATATACTGTATATTGGCATCTGTTGAAGGAACCATATTGGCCATATCCTTGTTATGGCCTCTGATAATTAAGTACTGTAGTTATATTGATTTGTTCATTGTGAAACAGAAATTATTGCAAAGTCTGTTGTAAATTGTTATTAATGTTATGATTCAAAAATTGTTTTGAATCTTTTTGAGATTTTAGTTGTTTAAACTTTATGAAAGTTTATCATTAGTAGTGCACAATTCTGATATGAATACATTAATCCAGTGTTTCCCAACCCTTTTTGTGCTATGCCCACCTAAGCCTTTATAAAATTCTTATGCCCCCCTAACATATACAGTGGCTATATAGTTAACTTACACTCTGGACGAGTCCATTTTCAAATTGCCCCCCTTGTGGGGCAGGGCCCCACATTGGGAAACACTGCATTAATTGGATAACTGGATAGTTTGAATATTCAAAATATTCTGATTTCCATCCACATTAGAGAAAGTTCAGGAGGTACTGTACATAAATGTAGTATACAAGTGAATAATATGTATGTATATTGACTTACAGGAAGATGGATAATTTTTGTTATCCACATTGGAAAAAGAAGTGCTTGTTGTATGTTTGTATATATTCACATATATAAGTAAAACTTATTCTATTTTTATGCTTATATATAGAATTTAATATTTTAAAGTGTATAATATGTATGTATATTGACTTACAGGAAGATGGATAATTTTTGTTATCCACATTGGAAAAAGAAGTGTTTGTTGTATGTTTGTATATATTCACATATATAAGTAAAACTTATTCTATTTTTATGCTTATATATAGAATTTAATATTTTAAAGTGTATTTTTTAAAAGGAAATACATTTTTAAGTAAAGTGTAGAATTAATATTTTAAAAATATGTCAGCTGAAAAATTGCACACTTCAATCATGCAACTTGTTGAAAAACAATTATTTTTATGTATTTGATACATATTTATATTATATTAATAATTAAATGACTTGATCTAATGTCATTTTATATATAATTTTATTATTATTATTACTATTATTTTATATATGTAATAGTTTATATTTGTTATAAAAAATTGCACAAAAGATTTTGTATCTTTAAAAATATATAGCTGAATTCAATGGAAACTATTTTCTTGAAATTACTGGCTTTGTTTAAAGTCTCAACTTGTTAATGTTTTAGAAAAGTCTAGCACTTTGTGCTTTGTCCATCATCAGGAGTCAACAAGAGAAATTATGAACAAGAGATCTTTTTGTTCTCAAATAATTTGAAGAGCATTTTTAACAAATTTGTCATGTTTTAAAAATGTTGAAAATAAATTATTTTTGTTTTATTTGATGTTTTAATTGATTTATTACACAAAATATTTGTCATTAGGATGGATTGCAGAAATGGGTTCTAGACAATGACCATGGTTTAAAGCTCATTAAAATCATGAATTGTACATATTGCAAGAATGATGTTTCTCAATGACCTCAAATTGGATAATCCAGTTTCTAACCGTTAATGGATAGAAAATTAATCGTTAATCTAATCTAATTTAGTCCTGCCCAGCTTTCTCTTCAAGAAATGAGATTGCCATTTTGATTATTCTGTCATTTCAAGAAATTTGATTAAGATTGGATATCATTCGTGTTTTCAATGTTAATGCAATAGAGAGAGAATATTCATCTTGACAACTATAAAAGTAAAGAATAATGTGAGATTAAATAATTTTTAGGATAATTTTAATTCTGGTCAGAAGTTTTGAGTTTGATACACATTTTCAAAATCCAGATTAGTGTTTATTTTGAATCAATTGGATACAAAATTAAACATTTGAGAGAGAATGGTGAATTATTAACTGTGGAATAGTAGTTGTCAAGTGTTTTACAATTTAAAATTGAATTAAAATAACACAATATACTAAGAATTTTTTTCTCTCAAGAAAACCTTTAATCATTTTTAAAAAGTAACATTGATTAACTGTTTATAACTTATCAAAGAATAATTATAAATTAACACTGATAAGATGCAAATGTGTTGCCTTTTGTCAAAGCTGGTTGACTGCAGACTAAAAGCACAGTGTAAGGAAAGAAAAGTGAGGAAGCTCTCTCAAAGCCATCCAAAGTTATTTATTTATTCAGAAGTTATCTATCAGAGAGCACAATAATCGCAATTGGCTATTTTATGGTATAATTCTAAAACCCACTTACTTTTTTCCTATGTGCAGAACTTAACAGTTTATCCTGGTATTGATAGATGGCAGTGGGTTTAACTAGTAAAACACTATATATATATGAGCATAACAATTCTTTGAGATATACGTGTAACTAAGCAAGCATTTTTGTTTATATTTTGCTTTTCAAAAACAATATGATAGGTTGTTCTGCACCAAAGTGTTCTAATAACAGCAGACATAAAATATAATTTTTTTCCACTTTCCAAGTGATTAAAATCATTGAAAAATACAGTAAAAATTTGAGAAGAGCAGATTGAACACCAACTAGAAACAACTTTATGTAATGTAAGTATTTTATAATAAATTTCGTGATTTCGTATTGATATTAATATAGGTTTATATAGTGATGATATGTTGTTCATATGACAAATTATTATTATTTTTATATTTGTCAGACTAAATTAAATATTCTTGGTATAATCAATTTATCAATCATATATGAACACTAAAAGTTTAAGAAATAATGCAAATTCATGATATTAATATTTGTGAAATTCATTTAAAGCTGAAGTAATAAGTTCAGTGTTGACATTTAAATTTTTTGAGCAATTACATAATTGATTTCATTGCTAAAATTAATAAAATTCTTAAAATATATAATTTCTCTTTAGACTTTCCATTTGTAAATGTAACACATAAATGTGTTTATCGTGTGCTCAAAGACGGAATATTGACAGTTTGGAAAAATCTTAATTGTGAATCAAGTTATTAATTAAAGCCTAATAAAATTGCAACATTTTTCTATAATTGGTTTCTTATAATTCAAAAGTTCTTTTACAAATTTGCATTTTAATTTAATAGCTAATATAGGTTAAAGTAAGTTAATAATGGTTATAAAATGGACTCAATAAGAAGTATTTTAAAGAAATTTTATGAACAGCATCAGGCCGATGGAAAACAAAAGAAAAAATCCAAATGCTATTCCTAATATCCTATGTTTTTTCATATGCCTGATCTTCTAGAGTTCTAGAATGTAGAAGGAAAAACGTTTATGAAAGAATAACACTTCAACACGTAAATAATTTCGTAATAAATTCGTAAATATGTTTTATTATAATTTTTTATTTTTAATGTACAGTATATGTGTCTGTGATTTCATATTTGTGAGTTTCATAGTCATAGCAACAATAGAAATGATTTGTCTGCAAAGGCTTAACTAGAGCCATAATTAATAGTACTTGTTATTGAAAAAACATTTTGAATAACAAATGTACAAATGTTAGTAATTATAGATAATGAAAACTTAATTGAAAAAATGTTTGAACAAATTAATAATGATTACTTATATAAAATTAGATGATAACCCATATGAGAGTATAAAAAAACAATTAACTAAATTGATCAAAAAAAGTTATATAAATAATAATATAAATAATATAGAAAAAAATAATATTCTTGACTTCAAAAACAATAGAATCCCTACTCTAAATATTAGATTAAAAACTCATAAAGAAGAAGAAAAATTTAGACCCATCGTCGATTTCAAATACTCCATTCTTTATAATTTAGAACATTACATAAAACAACAATAAAATGTTTAGAAAATTCTATATATAGTATTAAAAATGCTGATACTGTCATTAATAGGATACAAAAATTAAAAAAAGATAATTCTGATAAATTAATGAGTTTAGACATAAAAAATATGTATCCCAGTATAAATTGGAAATTAATAGAAAAAAGTTTAAGTGAACTTAATGTACATAGTAATTTGATTAACTTAATACAATTTGCATACAATAACAATTATTTC